GACAGCTTCTTCTCTCCTTCTTTCTTTCTTTTTTCTTTTTTTTTTTTTTGAGATAGAGTCTCACTAAGTTGCTGACACCAGCCTCAAACTTGCCATCCTCCTGCCTCAGTCTCCCAAATCACTAGGATTACAGACATGAGCCACCACACCAGGCTCTCAGACAGTTTGTTTGTGTGCAGGGATCTAGAACCCTTTTAGAGAAATCTTAAGAAAAAGAGTCAAATGGATAGATCTGGCTTAGGAGATGGGAAGAGGGATTTGGAATTTAAAGAGGTATTTATTTTACTAATATTTGTCTCTTGATCTAGCCCTGCAGCGTTCAAGTTTGAATCTTAGAGCAGGAGGCAGGCATGAAGGAAGCTACCTACAAGTGCAACCAGAAGGGGTGAGGGCCACTCTGCGACAAGCAGGCCTCATAAACCTTGCACCTGGGAATCATAGTGCCCTCTGGCCTCCAGCAGCATTGGAAGCAGTACCTGGTAAATGGCAGAGGAGTGGTGCCCACAGTGTCACAAGCATAGCCTCTTCTAGGTGACCAGCAGAGCTGGTGGCTGCCTCAGCAAGGGCAGCCCACCAGAGGGTCATGGGGATGGACCCTCACGCAGCCAGAGGCCAAGACAGTAGAAGCTAGAAAAAAAGAAGAAAATTCTTAGCAGGCATCCTATAGGTGTGACCAGATTTACTCATGAATAAGAAAGGAGAGACACCTTCACAGGTTTCCAGAAATACTGGGAAATACTTGGGGGGGTCCCACAGAAGGGTGGGATAAGAGGCAATACAATTCCAGTTGATGCCCTGGCCATGTGGACTGGGAAGAGATGGGACATGTGAGATCTTTCTTCCTTCTCACACCAAGTTCTTCCTCAACCCCAGCTAATTTTTGATAAAGACTCAAAAGTGAAAAACATTTCTTCAAAGGCATGTGAATATCTTTAAGTATCAGCAGCTCTAAGCGGTGTGTGGCTGCAAACCACACCACCTCCAGCCTGCACATATTCTGCTTTGAATTGGGGGTAGAAGAAGAATGCCCTAAGGGACTGTAGTTCCTGGGAAGGACAGAGCAAGTCAACTGTCATTATGAGTCCCCAAGAACTCCCATTCTTCATTTCTTCCCAGGAACTACAGCCCCCACAGAACCTCATTTTCAGGTAGTCTTAAAGTGAAGACCTGAATCTATGAATCTAAGGGTGGTCCTAAAGCACCTTGGAGACCTTCAAGGCTGCCTTTGACTGTGGCCACACAAATCAGCCATGTGTTACTTAGGGATAATGACAGCATACCCTTCTATCGTGCCTTTCAAGCTGAGGAGCCAAGGGTCTGAACTTCAATTGCTCAACCAAGGGCTTTTTTTTTTTTTTTCCTGGCTTGCAAGTTCTTGTCCAGTTTGAATATGCAGAACGGAGCCAAGAGTACAAGTGTATTGATGCAGTTCCAGAGAAGCCATGTGCCCCAGCTTTTTCAAAAACCCCATCTGGTTTCATTTTGCAGAGGCCAAGCAAGGCCCTTTTCGGTGTAACCAGGGAGCATTTGGGAGAATCATCTCTTAGCTCAAAATAGGAAGACTCCAGAGTAAAGCCATATCTGACTGACATTGTGAGACTCCCCACACAGGGCACACTGGCCTGACCCTACACCAGCAGCACTTGATATCTGCCAACTGAGCTTCACCTCAGACCCCATCTCTTCAACCAAACTGGTGACTTCCCAGTTGAGAGGGCAGGAAAGAAGCCAGCCTGTTTCCTCAAGCCTCCTGAATTCTGAAATTGCCATGCCAGAACTTTGGTTCCCCTTTGATTCTATGCCACCTTTGAGCGTCCCAGGGCTTCAGGGTTATTCCTGGACCTCACCAACACAAGTGCATACATACACTCTGGGAATTGTGCTAGGTTAAGGCATGTCTGTGACAGGTCCCTTTCAACATTGTTTGCAAAAAGTAACTAATTAAATTCTATTTTTTTAAAGCATTTGGTTGACACGGGTGCATATAAAGTGAAGAGGAGACTCAATTCAACAGTAAGGTAAATCCTCTACATCAAGGACAACAGAACAACCCAGATCCCAGGGGGTCTGGGAGCTGCCACGTGCCATCGGCACGGCATGGGCAAGCAAGCTGGCATGGGAGTGCTTTTAATCCTGTCTGGCTGAGTTCACAGAAGACAGGCCATTCCCCCAAAATAAGCAGCAGTCATGAAGGGTCCTGCCCTGTTCTTGTCTTGAGTTAACACCCATTTGGGTATCAGTTTAATTTAGTGCGGAAAAACCCAAAAATGTAGGATTGGCATCCATCCTTAGGTAGCTTTTGTTCCTCTGGGAGAAGGCCTCAGGCCAGAAGTCAAGTCCTTCGAGGACATGGTGTCTCTGTGATCCAGGTCTATGGATGAGGCCCTGCTCTGAAAAGACAGCTTTGAGAAGAGGCCAGTCTTATGCAGGCTCTGTGGTCTCTCTGGGCCATGCTTGTTTGGCACAACTCACCCTTGGTTTCTAGGGGCACCCCAGCTATTCCTCAAAAGAATGCCTGTCTCCAAAACCAGACCAGGACGGGGAAGACCACAACTGATTACCTCTCCCAAGCTTTGATTGGAATTTTTTAAGGTAATGTCCTTTGGGAAAATCTGGAATAAAATGTAGGATGAATCCAGGTAGCAAGGCTCTTCAAAAGGCCTTTATAGATTTGCAAGTTGAAATCACCAGAAACAAAGCCAACTTCAAGATCTGAGCTAGGAAGTTTGTATGTGGTTACAAAGGAAATCCCCCTTTTCTCCCACCCACAAGGACTGCTGGGCAGGTTGAAATTGGCTACTTCCTATTGCAAGAAAACCTCTGCTCATCCCCACCAGGAATACCATGAGTTCCAGAAGATGCCTGACTAGGCAGGATGTCTTGGATGCTTATTGCTTGAGGGGACATATGAATGACTGCAGGGAATCTGTATGGGACCTTTGTTCTTCTCCACCTCTATTTCTCCATCAGTGACAGTTCTGGGCTGGATTTTTCTGCAAGCCACTCTGATTTTTTTTTTTTTTTGCACGCATCAGTGTTGAACATATGTCTATAAGAAAGGAGGCCATGGTGGCTGATCAACTTGTGCTTCGGAGTTCCTTGGCAGTTGTCCTGAGGCTAAAGGATGTCTCTGGGTTCAGGAAGCCCTGCCAGGTTTCCATTTAAAGGAGTTAGGGATCCGACAGAACACTTGGAGGAAGGAGGTCATCATTTGGATGCTTTCTGAGTCCAGTTTGATGGTCATTGCTCCCCAGGCCCAGAAGTCCCTGTGAAATCCTGGGCTAGCTGCTAAATGACCCTGGTGCCAGAGAGGAAGGATTATCACATGTGTCCTTTTGATCTAACTGGTCCCCAAAGTTGACAGCATTATACTTCCTTTATTATGTCAAGGGAGTTTTGATGTCTCCATGGATTTTCTGTCAAAATGTGGATAATCTAAGCTTTTCAGAAATTAATGCTGGCTCTTCCCAGGCTCAGTGTTTCAGCAGGTGCAGGTGGAGATACCTTTCAATACCTCTGCAACAACCCACACTTTGTTGTTGGGTAGAGAGTGGCTTCACTGGTCTAGCACACTGAACTTCCTCAATCTCATCCCACATCTCTTCCAGGCTGATGATCTTGCAGGCGAGCACCCCCTTGGAGAAACTGCCTCTTCCTGGACACCTTTCCCAATCTAACCAGGTTCAGAGAATAGTTTTCAGCATCTACTCAGAAACATCTGGTGGGCAAATTCCCTCCATAGAGTCAAGTTCTCCCACTTATTGACAAACC